CATGTAAAACAAGCTTGATTCTAATTTAAATAAAAAATAATCCTTATATGGAACTCACTTATGTTATATTTCTCAGCATACAAGAGAAACTTAGTTTAGGTTACATATTTATGTCAAACTGAAGTCCATAAAAAGACCTCTTTAGATTCCTTTTTGTTCAGTCTTCATTCTCTGAGTTAAACCTTGGCCTTGGAGGAGAACTTTCCCATTAGGTATTATTGTTTCCATCTGTCCAGTCTACCCACTGAAGTGAGAACTAGATGTAAGGAACAACACAAATGAGTCTTACTTAGACAGGGAAATCTTTGGGACCCACCACCTCAATGTTCTGTCAGTAGGAGGTGTTGAATTGAAATCACTCAAAACTGACAGGCATGAAGATTGCCTTCTAGGTTGCTGAAGAAAGTGAAACTCTCAGACAAGAAATAGTTTGTGCACAAGCTATACATTTAGGTTTGGGCAGAGCTTAGACTAGAAAGCAAGGCACTAGTGTTTTGTTTTCTGACTTCGTACTCCTCTCAGTGGTTAACTGGTCTAATTTATAATGGGCAAGTGATAACAGATTTCCTCTAAATATTTGGGATAATTCAAGGAACATAACCGAGGAATCAAAAGGAAAGAAATTGCACTAGAGATCACTAATCAAGAACGTGTAACATTTATTTAGTGGGTGACATTCATGTATTCTGACAAAGATTTCAGTTTCCAGAGGGACACATAGGAGGGAAAAGGAAATAGGTCCCTGTGCATCCAAGGAATTCACCAGAAGCAATCATAGTCATTACCGAGTAATGCAGATAATAGCAAGTTCCTCCTCCAAGGTAAATATTAATCCTCTTATCCTGAATGACCTTACTCTGGGTCCAAAGAAGCATCTTTATTCATAATCCGTGGCAGGGGCAGCTACATGCCGTGATTGACTGGTATATGGAGTACAGAGGACTGCCCCAATCCGGGGCACCATCAAAGACTCATGCCCATTCCAGAGCTCCCTGAGACATACCCTGAAGTCTTTGAAGGGACTGTATCAGGACTGGTCTTCTCCTTTTATCCAAGCCTGTTTCTGTTACTCTGCCTTGGATGTTTTTCCTGAGAGCACTTCCCAACCAGCTTTCATTGTGCAAATCAACCCAGGAATGTGGGTGTGCAAAAATGCTTAATGCAAACATTGCCACTTAACACCTGTCAGCTACTTAAAATAGCTCTTGAGCTGATTAAACAGCGGAGCCCTGTGCTCTTGTTTAGCCAGAAGGAAAAGTATGGCATCAAGAATCAGATCAGCCAGACAACTCCATCATAGCAACGCTTGTTACACTCAGGAAGTAGTGATGCAACCAAGGAAGGTTTCTCATCCCTCCCTTGCCCATAGCTATAAAAATCCCAAGATGATACAATTCTCAAAGGAAAAGATATGCAGACTAAGCCTCCATGCCTGCAAGAGCCACAACATCAAGACTTCTCAGAGAAACTGTGGGAAAATAAAGTTTTCTAGAAATCAACTCATAGGTTTAGTAGTTTCTTGCATCACTGACATAGTTGGAGTCTACTATGTGTTAAATTAATTTTCACCTGCTTTATTGAATAAACTCTTCAACACAGTCTGTGGTGCAGCGCACTCATGAACCTAATTTGACAAATACAGAGACTTTAACAGATTGCCAGTAGTCACCACTAAGACTGCGGAGGTCTGACCTTTTCCTCATACCACACACACATGGTATTTTCAGGGAACTGTGCTTATTTACAGATAAAACAGGAAAAGTTAATGATGATGTTACTAAAAGATGACATGAGAATCATCAAGCTGCTAGAGTAGATTGAGGACCCACACAAGGTCATCTAGGAGGTTGGTGAAGTACTTTCAGCAGCACCTTAGTGGAAGGAACTAGGGTTGGCCATACTTTTCAGAGATAGTTTCTCTGAGTCTGACTATAGTGGATTCCATGGTCACTGCTTAGGTTTTGTTTGTCTACTTAGCGAAATCCCTCTAATTATTTACAATGACTATCTAGCTCAACAATCTTCTATACTTTATCATCACACATGTATCAGTAAAGAGTCCAACTCCTGTATCTCATGAACAAAGCTGGATATCCCGGAGACACAAAATGAGAAACATAACACCTCTGTCCTAGTGATGCTTTGTAATTTTTAAATTTTTCATCTAAGACATGCTATACAGTTCAACAACTACTACTTCCACACACAAAAGGAATTCATTAACTAATATCTAAACATGTGGGGGAAAAGTCATTGTGATAGTTCATATTTATAGTTCTAGGAGTGGAGTGGTGAGGCAAAAAGGACTCTAAGGTCATAGATAGCTTGTCTGTATTGCAAGTCCCTGATTCAAGGAAAGAAGAAAAAGGAGAGGGGAAAGCAATTAGAAAGGGTTTCATTTGCTCCTCCTGAACTCAAGAGGGGGTTACTGCACATTCAAAAGGAAACAGTCCACACCAAGCATGATGAGTGTGAGTCAATTCACCAGTTTATTTTCAAATAAAGGTATGTATACTATATGAAATAAGACAAAGTTGGCAAAGTTTACTTTGTGATCTAATTTCCTCTCTTATTTCTATGTACAGAACTGTCACACCATGATAGTTCATACTGAAGATTCCAACCTGATTGTTTTTGAAGCTGAGAAAATAAATAAAAACACTCTTTGGACACTCATAATGAGTAATTTTCAAGCTGATACATGCTGAAATTAACCTATGAAAGGAAATTTCACTTTACTCTCTCGCAGGAAGCAAGTAAGTCTCGTTAGTCTAGACCTATTATTTTAATCCGAGGCTTCTTTTGTCCTTAAAGCCATCATTTATGGGCTCTGTGTAAGATTGGGTGGCTTCGCTGACCTATGAAGTGTTCTGCATTATTCACTCAGGGCATAGCTGGGTAAGCCACTGTACTATCCCAGAAATGCACATGCTGGGAAGATTAGATGCCCAAGTTCCCTGTGATTGAAACAAAAAAACTTTGATCTCAGGAATTGTGTTATCTGGTACTTTGTAGGATCCATAATCTTAAAGAAAAAAATAGTTTCCAATGAATTAATAATGGCTTGAGTCTCAACCCGCTACAGCAATTTTCACTGCACTGGTTGTTTCTTTTATAGTCACACTTGATTAGTGTTTGAAATGTGGAGGAATTGCAATATGCATGGTTTTCAAAGCCCTTTACAGAATTTCATTTTATCACTCGGAGAGAGTCAATGAAAACGTAATAAGAAAAGCTCTATGGGATATTTTTATAGAAGTGTCAGAAGCCAGTAAGCTAACTACTTGAAAGAACTCAGATAGTACAGACAGGGTTGGGAGCAGAAACACTTCAGAGACTTTAGCGCCAGTATTTTGACTTTTATATGTCCTTGGAGAGAAAAAAAAATCATATGTACTCCAAAATCAAATAAGGGGGGGGGGGGGGGGAGGAACAAACCATATGCTTAAGAATAATTAATTTCAATTTTCCTACAAACTAAATATGAAGTTTTGATGACAAGTGTCATAGGAATTCATCTGATTTGGCATGTCTAAAATGTTGCCAAAAAGAGAAAATTCTCATTTCCCTTGCTAAGGCATGCCAGATTCCCACCATATGGAAGTTAGTCTAGTAACTTAATTGATTGTGATCAGTCCCCCACAACTCCATTTGATCTTGGTTTGCTTTCAGTAGAGATGGAAAATGTCACATCACCTTCTCTACAGAATTCAAATCTGCATTTGATTAGTTTATAATTTTGATGTTTTTATTATTTCTTTATGAATTTTATGCTATGTATTTTGACAATATTCACCCACAACTCTTTCCCTTAATTCTCTCTACTCACCCCAAATTGATGTCCTCCTGGTTTTCAAAAAAAGATTTATTTGCCTAGTAACCCTTTGACTCCAACTTGTGATGTGCATATAGTCCTGGATATGGAGTCATACACTGGAGTGTGGTTGATCTTTCAGGAGCCACACCACTAAAGAAAACTAACTCTTCCTCCATCAAAAGTTACCATCTGTCCAAGGTGAAATGAACCTCTTCTTACTCCATGCTAAACTGATGATGAGCTTGGTCTTGTGCAGGTCTTGTACAGGCAACAACAACCACTGTGAGTTTATGAGCACAGTGATGTTGTTGTGCCCAGAGCTCTGATGCTCCCCAACCTCTGTGTCTTATCATCCTCACACTCCATCTTCCATTATGATCCCCAAGCTTCTTTTGGAGGGATACAAGATATAGATATACTAATTGTAGCCAAGCACTCATCAGCTGCCTATTCTCTGCACTTTGACTATGAGTTTCTGTGCTCACCATCATCCACTGAATAAAGAGACATCCCTGTGATAAAGTCTGAGAGCTAGTTAAAACTCAGTTATCATAGCTTCTTCCAACCCATTAAAATTTTCTTATCCATCGAGTAAAATATGAAAACATTATGGTTGGGTCTAGGGAGATGGCTGAGTCAGAAAAGCATTTTCTCTGATGCATGAGGACCTGAGTATAGCCTCCAGGCACCCACATAGAAAGGCAAGAACACTAATATGCATGAGTAACTCCATAACTGGAAGGGGCAGAGACAGGAGAGTCCCTGAATGATTGACGAGCTCCAGGTTCAGGGGAGATCCTGCCTCAAAAACAAAGTGGAGTGCTACAAAGATGTTTCAGTGGTTGAGCACTTGAGTGTTGCTCAGACAGAGGACCCATGGTGACTCAGTACCCGCAGGATGATTTGAATCCTCTGTGACTTCCCATCTAAGGAGATCTGACTCCCTCTTCTAGCCTTCCAGGGCACTGTATGCATGTGGTACATGGATATACATGCAAGAAAAACACCCATTTGCACAAAATAAAAAGATATGTCTCAGAAAAATAAAAAGGTGAAGAGCCCCAACATTGATCTCTGAATTCTACATGCATGCTGTGTATTCCAAACAATATGGGAGCAAGAAATTGTTCATTATACCTTTGTCAGGTAGGTAGTAGAAACAATAGTATGTGGTTTAACTGACCTGCAGTCATGTTGGTGCTTGCTATTGCAATGGCCCATGCTTGCCCGTTGGTCTCTCCATATCAGACACATCATTCTGAAAACCAACTGTTGTACTCGAATCCAGGCCACCTTGATCTTGATGAAGTTTCTTGGCTCTATCTGCATGGTGACTCTGAAATGGCAAACACATGTAAATTGTCAGTCCCAAATAAATGCCTTTTAGAGATATGACAATGGTAAACATTTGTCATATGGCAGGTCATTTTTGTATGTCTGAAAGAGAACATTCTGTATGTCAAATCAAGTTATAAATCATATGTTTCTCAATATATTTTAGTAATCTAACTGTGGGGGTTTTAAGGTAGCCAAGTGATTAGAATAAAAGGGTTGTTTAGCTTGGATTTTTTGAGTCTTCTAACAGTGCGAGTGGGGGTGTCTCTTTTGCCTACTCTTGGGATCCATTCCCCCTCCTGGGTTGCCTCATTAAGCCTTAATATGAATGTATTTTGATGGGGGATGTTCATCTGTATATATGTTTCTCTTATTGATTGATGAATAAAACACTGATTGGCCAGGAGAGGCAGGAAGATAGGCATGGCTACCAGACCAGGATAAGGCTGGGGAGAGGAAGGCAGAAAGAGGCACCGTGAAAAGATGCCATGTAGAGACTGGGAAAATAGGATGCACCAGGCATTCTCAGATAAGATAAGGCCATGTAGAAATACACAGATTAGTAGTTGTAGATTAATAATTAAGACAGAGCTAGCCAATAAGAAACCCTAGTCATCAACCAGTAGTTTTATAATTAATATTGCATCCACGTGTTTATTTGGGGCAAAGTGGCTGTGGGACAAGGCTGGAAAGAAACTCCAGCTACATTTTTGCCTGTTCTTATTATATCTTGTTATACTGTGTTCAGTAGATATTACTGGATGTGCTCTTTTCTGAAGGAAAATGAAGGAGGAGTGGTTATGGGAGAGAGGGGAGGTGAGGGAAGTTGGGAGGAGTAGAGGGAGGGGAGTCTGCAGTCAAGATGTATCGTATGAGAGAAGAAAAAAATTGCTCTAGATAAGGAAATAATCTTCAGAAATCAGATTCTTTATGAAAAATTTGCAAAATATTTTTCATTTAGAATATTCATATTCAGTTGCTATCTTTATAGTCAGACAATCCAGTACTTTGTCATATATTGCATAATTACAAATAAATACTGCAGTAGTTTTATTCTTTTGTTTTGTTTTGTTGTTTGTTTGTTTGGCTTTTTGTTTTTTCAAGACAGGGTTTCTCTGTGTGACAGTTCTGTCTGTCCTGGAACTTTCTTTGTAGACCAGAACTCACTGAGATCTGCCTGTCTCAGCCTGCCAAGTGCTGGGCCCAGGCGCTTCATTCTTTTTTAAAATTTATTTTACCTTAAAATTGTGTGTATATGAGTGTTTTGCCTGTATGTATGTATGTATGATGTCACCTGCATGCCTGGCACTGAAGGAAGCCAGAAGATGGCATTGAATCCCCTGGAATTAGAGTTACAGACAGTTGTGAGATTTTTTTTTTGTGGGTGCTGGCAATCAAACCCAGGTTCTCTGGAAGAGTAACAAGTGCTCTTAACTACTAAGCCATCACTCCAGCTCCATTTATTTCTATGTTTTATTAGGAAGAAATTTTAATATCTGCTCTAAATGTATATGTATCTTATCAGTAGTTTGCAAAATTGACAAAGTCCTCTGGCCAATTTGAGAATAATAATTCATTGGAATGAATTATTAAGGCACACATCAATGGTTCCCTATAACTCACATAATAGATGTCATAATGTTTGACATTATACTGACACATTGCATATTTTAAAAGATATATCAGTTATGATCCCACACACAAGATCTAAGGGGAAAATTAAACTTTAGCCCTTTGTTTCATAATCAAATCCAGACCAGAAACTTATTAGTTTGAATGTTATTAGTTTGAATGTGATTATAAAATATTAGCAGATTTGTAGTTAAAATTAGCTAGCCAGTTTTGGCCATTTATATTAGCAAATTTGGCACTGAGGATAAGACAATGAACTTGTCTCTAAAGTTCCTCATACAGATTATATATAGGATTTAACACATTAAATCTTGCTTTTATAGAATGAAAGGCTTATAAATTTTGGGAATTATATATAAAGAAATGAGAGTCCAGTATGATGACCTGATTTACTCAGGTTAACAAAATGAATGATATGGCTATAATTCCTGGCTACCAGTACAGTACTCTTTATGTCATTGTAATTCATTTGTTCTATCTGTCTGTACAGAATAATGATTATAATGAAGGCTACAAATCTGTTGTGTCCTTTTTATCAGTGTCCATTGCATGCAATTTGACAATGATCTATTGCTTTAACTTTTGGTTTGCCCACATGACTTCTTTTTGAATCAACAGGATATTGACACATCTGGAGGCTCAACAATCCACCCTATTGTTTATTTGCTCAGACCTGCATTTCCATGAAGTGATGAGAATATGTGCAGGACAGCATGACGGAAGCTCACTGTGAGCTGCAGTTTAGTGAGGGTACCAAACTAACTAAGCTGTGGTGAGACACACTATAGGATTCCATGGTATGACCAGTTTAGACCAACAGAAACCAAGTCAAGTTGGATCAATCCCAGAGCTTCATGAGCCCATTAAGTGTGATTTGAATTCTATGCCATGAGGTTTTTTCAGGTAGTCATTGTGATTATTATTTGGTGAAAACTGTTTCATTCAACAAACATCTATCCCAGATACTGCTGTGTGACAATGCAAATATATGACAGCCTCAGACTGTCAAATACAATGTCTCAACATGTTTATGAGGAGCATTAAAATAATATGGTAAGTCATTTATACATAATTCTGAAACCCACTTTCTAAAATCAAAGGATAGAAACATAGCTATACTACCAGGAACAACCCAAGGGATCATTTTGAATACTGATAGTAAATGGTACTATTTACTGTCATATTTCTTATACTTAATTCACTCACAAACCAAAAAATATATATGTCAATAACTTATTATGAAATTTTAGATCTGTTTTCAAGCTAGTATCATCGCACAGTTTTTGAAACAATGAAGATTCGATATCTACATAGCCTCTTGACTTTTTAATTACATGCTTTTGGAAAACATATTAATGACAAGATAGATGTTAAATCATAGTTTCTCAGTAGTGAGAAATAAACTAGATAAATGGAAAAATAGCTTAATGACTGTTTTCATAACAAATTCAACTGACAACAGTAAAACGCTGAGGAACCCCTGGGATGAGGGTGGATAAAGGGATTTGCTGCCAAACCTGATGGCTTGAATTTGGTCCCTGGGACCCACAAGCTCCTATTTGACTAATTTACATTGAACTCATTCACAAACCACGAAACGACTAAGAAAATCGAACTCTGTAATTTGTCCTCTGCCCTCCATGTGTATACTGTGCTATGCTCCTTTCTCTCTCTCTTTCATGCCCACAGAAAACATATAAACAAATGTCTCCAACGCTTTAAACAAATGAATAAATTAAAAATTGGTGAAATCTAGCAGTTTGTGGAAATTATGAATACTATACTATCCTCCAAATTCTAAACAAGAAATTTTAGACATTCTTAGTTTGAGACCTTTGTCATGAAGTCACAGCAGGAGAAAATAACCACCCAATCATAGTAGGCTAGTGTTTACAAAAGTCTTGCATTTCTTGGTGCAAACATTTGTAGAGGTAAGTATTTTAGAAGCACATTAGCATTTCATAAATTAGTAAATTAGTAACTCCCCTTCCTAAGCAAAGTCTCCTCTAGTTAAGCCCTGTGGGATTTCTAATACTGTCCCCAGTACCTAACTTCAAAGGAGCCGCACATTCCCTAAGTCACTGACGCAATCATATCCCTTCATCCCTTTTTGCTATATTTCTGGGCCATGAGTCTGGGTTACCATATCATAAATTGCCATTTATTTTCTGCTACAAAAAAAATTTCACAGTGTTATTTCTTCATTGCCCAGCTGCCTTCCATTAACCTTCAACTATCTCATTTCTCTTTCCCCTCTCATGGTTCTCAAATTCTTGTACTCTGAATTCTCCATTTGCTTCATGGATCGCCAACTTCACTACATAATAAACTTTTTGTTAGAACACTGCTTTCACCTCCATACATTGACTGGAAGTGGTACTGGAGACCCACTTACTCTGTAAATGATGATAACTGTATTCTAGTTATCCTTGGGTTGATAGACCATTTACCCTGAGCTCTGGGCACTAGCTCTGGGCACTGCATCATTTTTTCCTGCTGTTTTATTATGCTCACCATCTAGTTATATAACATGTCTCTTCTTGTTGCTATCATTTGTCTGCTAATCTCTAATTACCATGAAGCCTGGATTGATGTTGCCCCATCCAGTCTTAGTGTGGACACAATTTGGGGTGACACTCACATCTAGAAGAACACCTCATTCAATCTTCCAACTGTGTCTCACCATTACAGCCAAACTTTCCTCTACTTCAGCCATTCATTTTATCCATCAAATGTGTGTTTCAAATCCTGTGCGTTAAAGCATGCTAATTGTTGCAATTATTGAAGACGTGTAATTATGTAGTATCTCATATATGCAGTATAACATATATATGACTCAAATTGCACTGGTCTATTACCTATAGACATTACAAGTAAAAATTATGGTCATATTAGATGAGGTAAGAATCAAGAACTAAGTGCGAACACACAACTTTGGGCATTAGAAAATTGCCTGATAGCAGACATAAAAAGTTGGTCACTGTTTGGCACTGCTTGGATATCAAACCTTCAAGCTTAAGGTGGGGTCCAGAGGAAACTGATAAAATGGAGATGTGTTTAAAGAATTGACAAATTGGCATAGATTTGGAGTGGCATGTATAAGGCCTTTGTTACAACTCTATAGTTACACAATAGAAAACAATTTGTTCTGAACTATCCATAAGAATCCTGACCGATATTAAAGAACCATTCCATTACTTCTGATGTTATTCCTGTATGTTTTAAAGACTTATTTTTAACTTTGGTTGTGTAGGCAGGTTGCACGTCCATACAATCTCCTGGCCGGGGTTGGAGGTGGGGGGGCAGAAAGGAGTAGCCCCCCCGCATTAGACATTTAACTTTGTAAAAGAGCAACCCTCTCTCTGTAGG